TAGAATAATTTACAGTGGAAACATCGCTTTCACAAAATCCCTTATTTCTTCAGACCATTAGAAACCCCAAATTCTCGAGGATGTGGGAAAAATAGCAAACAGATCAAGTGACTTTTACATTTTTCTCCACTTTTTTTTTTCAACAAATGCAATGTTTTCATTACAAAGATATCAAATCCTCTTTGTTATGAAGAAAACAGTACCACTACATGACTCAGTACATTGGCAGCCTGGTTTCTGAGGTTAAACTGCGTGCTGCCAAGTCAATCCAGTGACAAATGTATAAATCCTTGTACAGAAATGTGAGAAGTTATGTTTTGGGGACCATTTATTTGGGGATTACGATATTAAGCACATATCTCATTTATTCCGCCAATTGTCCAGTGAGGTATGAACACCATTTTATGGATAAAGAACCTGAGGCTTCCAAAACCCAAACCCACTGCCGTCAATTCAATTCCAACTCACAGCAACCCTTTAGGACTGAGCAGAACTGCCCCATAGGGTATCCAAGGCTGTAATCTTTATGGAAGCAGGCTGCCACATCTTTCTCCTGCAGAGCAGCTGGTGGGTTCGAACTGCCGACCTTTCGGTTAGCAGCCGAGTACTTTAACCACTGTACCACCAGGGCTCCTTAAGTGAGGTTTAAACAAGTTAAATATCATGCTTAAGGCTACACAGTTGGTAAGAGACAGGGCTTAAGTTTTAACCAAGGATCTTGACTAGGAAGCCCGTCCTCTTAGCCACCATACTGCAGGCTCCTTTCATGAAAGGACCAGAGGAGCCGCAGAGCAGTATCATGTGCCATGATCTTTTTGACGGTGATCATGGATATTGTGGAATATTCAATAAACTGGTGTGGTACTGGTCATAGAGCACAAAGCAGGGAGCAAGGACAACTGTTTGAAAAAGAAGGTTAAACTACTTTTCCCCAGAACACCTTTTCCATGGGTACCCAGAAACAACCAACAAACCAAAAAACAAAAAAAGACCAGGGCAGTGGTTTCAAAATTAAATGTTAGGAAAACACTGAATACCCGAATCCTCCTTTTGGAGACTGACATATGCACATCAGTGTTATTATAGGCTCTAAGAAGTACTCCAGTAAAGGATTCTGCTTAACTTTAACCTAGAGTTCCCTAGGTTATTTGACCCTTGTTCCCTTTAAAGCGTATTAATGTATGGAGACTTGCAGAGTACACCTTGGGGAACACCAGAACTAGTCTGAGGCATGTCTAATTCTGTGGTCCTCTCTGTGACTATGAATGTGAATCTGGAGGACTTGTTATTCACTCTCCTGAAGGTAGGAAGGACCAGATGATCAATGTGAACATCTTCTGGTTCTGACTGAAAACCCTATCCTTGTTTTCGCCATCCACAGCTGGTGGGAATTGCATCTTTGCATGGGAGGTTGTCACATTTACCGTTACATGAAAAATGGAGTCGAACACACTTTAAACAAGTTGGTTCAAGTACCCAAGGTTAAATGACATAAGAGGAACCATCTGACAACAGAATTTCTTTTGAAAATATTTATCTTTCTCCGGGAAAGGGTGAGCCAGATTTTCTATATCCTTTGCCTACTGTTGATATTTGATATTTTCATTACATGATGCTTATAAATAGAAGCACCCGATCTCTGTGGTAAGCAAATTCATTAAATTCCTACAGGCAATTTCTAGTGGAATGGGTGTTAAATCTAGACTGGGGCTGTGCATATGCAGGACAGTATGAATTATTTGACACACAGAGAACTACAAGAAAAAGGGAGGCTAACAATCTCATCTTTCCCTCTGTTCCAATAATTACTTTCAATAGTTATTTTTAAAAATGGTACCATAGACTTTTAGACCTGGAAAGGACTTTGGGAATCTTCTATTCCAAACCCTTCCGTCGCCGATGAGGTAGAGGAAGCTTGAAAAGGTTAGGTAACAGGCCCACGCAGTTTATGTGGAAGGGCTGGATTGATTTCAGCTGACTCTGTCCAGTGCCATTTCTCTCCTATCCTCCTCATTTAAGACATTCCAATATCATTTTAAGGAGTTACTTTCTTGATCATTCCCTATAATGCAAGAGCTTGCTTCATTTGCTTTTCTTTGAGACTCTGGGATGGCACGGAAGGCAACCCATGTGCTCACCAACAGCTCTTTGGTTCTCCTGCCCGATCATAAAGTATGGAGTCCCTGGATGGTGCAAATGGTTAACACACTAGCCTGCTAACTAAAAGGCTGGAGGTTGAGTCCACCTAGAGGCACCTTGAAAGAAAGGCCTGGACATCTAATTCCCCAAAAAGTCAACCACTGAAAAAAATGAATGGAACATAGATCTACTCTAACACACACAGGGTCACCATGACTCAAACCTCAGGGCAACTGGTTTATCATGGAGGAGAGGCTGCTGCCCCTTGATAGCCCTCCACCATGCGCCCTTTTTTGACCCTCTGTCCCAAATTTGCTTTCCTGTCTTCTTCAGTTATCTTTGGAAGCATGTCTGTGCACTTCCCAAGTAGTCTGGGATCCGGAGGATGGTGACTCTCAGTTTAATGGAGTTTTTCCATAGTGCTTCAATTTGCCCCGAGGGTTTGGAAGTTAACAAAACGTAAACTGCCATCCTTTGCCCTTTCCAGTCTAAGTTCCGTTAATAAGGAAGTTTTGAAATAAGTGCAGAAACTCAGAGTTCTTGCCTACCCCTGGAAAAGTTCAAGGCTGTTGTTCAATATCTGGAAATTTCCCTTGTAATTTGCTTGTAGTCCTTAAGTCATCTTCAGACATCTGATCAAGAAAGCGTCAGAAGAAGATAAAGTGTTGGGTATTTGCACTGAAGTCAGTTTCCTGGGCCATGGGGAGAATGTGTATTTTTGCTCTGGCGCTTAGTGATCAGAGTGGGAGCCCATTCCCTAAGCAGGAAGCCCTCCTTGCTGCAGGGGCTACTCCATACAAGAACTCACCCGTTCCTATTTTTCATTCCTCAAAAGAAATTCTGTGAGGGGCAGACCTGTTTTTCTATTCTAGTTACTTCCCATCATATCCCTTAAGTACCCAGGAAGACCGTATTTTTAACCAGAGGTTGAAATGGAACCTCTCCCTGCGTGCTCGGAGGGAGTCCCTTTGGGGCAGCGCCCCCCCTTCAGGAGGGCAGCATCCTGGTGGGGGTGAGGGCTCAGCTTTGATCCCAGGGAACCTTTTGTCCCTGGAGACGCCCTGCCAACCAGGTATGTGGAGGGTAAGTGCTACCCGCTTTCCAGGACGGCAAGTGTGGGCTTGGGACCGGGAAGGTCGCTTTGGAGAGCGGCGGGGAGTGGGAGCCGGCGAACACGGGTGGACACAACGAACTCACTAACGGCGTCTCCGGGGAACTTCGGCGGGGTCCACCGGCTCACGGACTTTCTTCCTCTAAATCCATCTCTAGGCGGAGCAACCCCACTGCTCACCAAACTCATGCTGATGAGGGATTAGGCGGGAGCGGGGTTTGACGAGGCGGATCCAGGAAAGGCCTGGCCCGGCGGCGAGGCCCCTCCAGCGCCGGTCCGCGGCCCCGGGTGCCTGCCCTACGCCTCGGCCGGGACTGGTCCCGCGGGGCAGGGGCCGGTAATACAAAGACGGCGGCGGGGCCTCCGGGGCTTGGGCGGCGGAGCGGGCCCGGGCTGGTCGTGGGTATCACCGGCGCGTCCCGACCTCCCCTCGCGCCGCATCCCCGCGGCCTGCTACTCCCGGGCGCCCGCCCTCAGCCGCTCTGCGAGGCGGCGGCCTCCGTCGGGCGCGGGGTCCCCTGGTTAACCCCTGCCCGCCAACCCGGCCGCTGATTGGAGGAGGCGGGGCGCCGGGGCAGCGGGGACCCCTCCACCTTCCTTTTCCCCTCCCTCTCCCCCCCACCTTCCTTCTCCCCTCCCTCTCCCCCCTACACCGTCGACTCTTCCTCCACCACCCCAGGACCCCCCCTGCCTCCCAGCCGTGCAAATCTCGCGAGGAAACACGCAGTTTCACTAGTGTGTTTACACCGATCACTACTAATCCGGACCGAACCGATCCGGATTAAGGGGCCGGAGGCGGGTCCCAGGCACCAGCGGTTCCGAACCCCCCGCCCTTCGCACAGCACCCGAGTGGCCCCCAGCCGAGCGGGCCCCTACCTCCCGGCCCGGCCTGGGCCCTCCTGCGCCTCCCTTGGCCTTTGTCCGGCGCCAGGAGGCCGGTCCCGCGCCCC